TCTACTTACTCATAGTATTAAGAAATCCTATATTAAGCTCGTACTGTCTACAATGAGATTATGTAGCCTTGGGAAAGAAAGCTCAACTGAGTACTTCATCAGCACTCTACCCCCCCTTAAAATTATAATACATTTCTTAACTAAAATATCTACATTATTTCTGAAAAAATTGTATTTGCACATCTTAGTAGTCTGAATAACCAACTGGAACCACAACACTTGAGTGGTATTTATTCAAGTCCTATTACCTGATTTCACAGATAGAAGGTAGCTCTGAAGCAAATGAATGGAGAGTGTATTTAAAGACACAACAGAGATATACACAGTAATGTAAAGAAAATAATGGGCAAACCAGTTCCACTGGAGGCTTTAATATGTTTTTTTACTGCCAAAATGAGCCTGAATGAAGAACTCTCCCAAGCAACTGCCAAGACTGAATCAGTCTGATGTGAGAGTGTTAATGTCAGGCACCATTTGTGTTAACACATGAGAAAACTAGTGCCACGTGTAACGGTGATGGGAGTAACTTTTTTCTTCTGCTTTCCTGCAAAATTTTAAGGTCTGCAATGATAAATGGAAGAAGGAAGTGAAGGGCAAAAAATCGGACATTATTAATGGACAGGAGCATTCTGTATGCCATAGTTTCTTTAGTCTGTGCATTTCTCCTCTTATCTTTGTTTTTACATTGATTATTCCCTCTTGTCTCTTCACCTACCACAATTATTCTTCTTTTTTCCCCACACCACTTCCCATTCTGCTACAGTTCTCCCACTGACCAAAACCTGATATGGCTGAAAAAAACGGTATTTCACTTACAGCATCATCAAACCCCATGGATAAAAAAAAAAAAAGGAAGTTTCAGCCAGGCTGCCTCCTACTAGCATAGACAAGTAAGAGAGAAGAAGAAAGGAAGACAGTAAACTCAAAATGGCCAGACAGCACCATAGAGGCCTCATACACAGGAGATAATTTCCCCAGTCCAAGTCTGGCCTTACTTATGGCATAGGCTGACATTCAGAAACAGGACCAAGTTTCTGAGAGCAGGTAGGCCTTGGAGCTGTACACAGTCCTCTGCACTACACACAGTGCAGGGGTCTGCAAAATGTCTTTTGTGGGTATTAGAGATATAATTCCATGTGTTTCCCTTGTTAACACAGTATCTCTGCGTTAGACATAAAACAAGTTTCTCATTACATATTTTTCTGTTTTATAAGGTTATTAAATGTAATAACAATAATAATTTATTACAGTTCACCTTAGATGTCAGCACTGAAAACCTGTTTACAATATGGGCTTGAATGACAGTTCTAAACCACATATGATACGATTCCTTTAGGAGGATCTGAATTTCAAAACTGAATAAAATAAACAAATTAAGAGCACTACTTGAGTAAATAAGGACACATAAAAAATGAAATCTTAGACAACTATTTTTTCAATCCATTTTTTCATGTATTTCTAATAAAACATCTAACTACAAGGGGTAGTAGTAAAGTCATAAAAGTAATACAGACCTAGTAAAATATGCTAAAGCAGTAGTTATGATGTCTAGAGTCACACTATTTTGATAGAAATATATATATTTTTATATATTATATATTATTTTTTTAAACTGTCACTATCCATCCAAAAGTGTCAGCCTATTGTAGTACACACTAGTGTATCCCTAGAGTTGCAACACACTCACACTTCAAAACAACTTGTCCTAGAATTAGTCGCAGAGTTCATGGGAAGGTGTACAGTATGAAACCAGTTTCTAGAACACATACAACTAGATATTTAATGACATGTTCCTCACTTAGGCAATTTCCACCAGGGAACAGAGACTGTTTTCATTCAGAGGAATACAGATTATGCTCTCTCTTCACAGGGAGAATGAAAAGAAGAAAAGAAAAATAAAATCCACCCCATGTTATATAAACCTCTGGTCAGGGAATGAAAGTCCAATTTTTACTTATGCAAGTTTCTTTTCTTTGTAATACAAAATAAATTGTTCTTGAGTTTTGTAGCTTTAGAACACTGATCTTGGTAGTACTAACTTTTCTGTAACTTCCTGATCTACTAACCAGAAACAAGACCAAATTATCTCATAAAAGCATGAAATAGCATTTTAATGTTCCATTTTAATTGTTGGCTCTCACTTGTTCAGAAACACATAGGCATTACCAGGTTAGGAAATCTATCATATGAGAGTTCATTAAATATCACGAGGAACACAGAAACAAATTATATGAATAGAAGTGGGTCAGACTGTGTAAATACAAAGTCAAACCCCTAAAAAAACCCCCCTGAAATTCATTAGTCATGAGAACAATGACAAAAATTCAGCCTTATATACCCCACAGAGTACAACGAGTTCCTGACCTAAGGACCTATCTATTAAAAAACAAAAAAAATGATATATAAAATCATACTTTTTAGCTTCTTTACACAGATGAATTTAAAAGAAATAGATATATAACTGAATAATTTTAAGATTTTACTAGAAAATGGAAATGGTTTGCTCTGCCCCATATCAAACAGGAATGATCTAAGAGTGACTTAACTTATTCCACTGAGTGATACGAGGATCCCCGACTACGCTCCCCGACAGGCTGCACACCTACAAGCAATGGAGATGACTGAAGAAAGAGCACGTAGAAGCCAGGAAAGGAAGAATTCAGAAAGACTAGATTTTACAGCCATGAAGAAAACAACAGTAATGGGATCCATGCACAGCATGGCTGCAAATGCCATACAAAATATGAGGATGAAACGGAGATTAGTAGTGCAGCGAAAAGGGAAAGAACTTTAGAAGGAAATTAGGAGGAACGTGTTGGCCATGTTAAGTAAAATTAATGGAAAAAAATCTTCCACTCCTCATAGAGTTACTCGTAACTTAAATTCTTCGAGGTACATTTCTCCGAGATTATTGGATGAGGGACTATTCTCACTGCTGTAAGAAGTTCAAAGCTTTCCCTACTTCAAACATAAAACCCAGAAAACTTTCTAATTTATTACATTTTTTATTATATTTTGAATACAAAGAAATTATGCAAAATATTGTATGTATTACAATTAATGTGTACATTATTTATATCTATACTCTCATTTCTTAAATTGATTTTTAAGTGCTTACTCCATTTATATACCATAAATCAAAACTAAAATGTTGAAACAAAACCTTTTCTTTTATGCTTGTTACACCACAAAATTATATGCAAAATTACAAACAGCAGTGTATTGTGGATTCATACTAATAGATTTATGAATGATTTATCTATATTTTTTATTTAAATTAGCCAGTTAATGATGCATTTATACCAGATTTCTTTGTCCATAATCCAGCATAGTGTAGTTAAATGTCAGCCAGAAAAGAAGTGCTTGTTTTCTCCTACATCCCCGCGAATACCTCATCGATACCCTCATCATTTGTATGAAATAGTCACAGTGGTTGAGTGGTTGTTGCAAGAACAGTTTGGATTCAAAGCTCAGTCCCAGAACAGGTGCCTGCAGCAGTCAGCCAGACTATCCAGAGCTGCTGCTATTTGTATGATCTGTGGCACGAGGACTCAAGCACCTCAAATATTGACATGACCTGCAAGGATTTTTCTTTGACAAAAAGAACTTATTTTTAATATTGAAAAAGATGTGGAAACATACATATGGCCTGGGAAAGACTAATCCTGTGCAGCACTGCATCAAGTGCAGAGTTGCCCAAAGATAACCAGATTCAAGGAGCTGTGCAATCTGATGACCAAGACCTCTCTCACTCTTGAAAATTACACAGTTCCTTCTCAGTGGATTGCCAGTGATTGCTTGAAAGACGATGAGTTATGTCAGAGGGACTTGTTCTAGGCAGTCCACATTGGCCTTGATGGGCCACAACTGATCCTTTGCATCATTTACCTTCTGTAAAAAAATCCCAAACTTTCTGACACCAACTTCCCTTCCTCAGCAACCCCAAAATCTCAGTACCTTCTATGTTACCCCATCAAGACTACCAGCATCTCATGTAAAATGGACTATAATTTTTCAGTGGCACTGGCTATAACAACTGTTTCTTACAAACGTTGTATTATACACTGTGGTTCAAATATGAAAGCCCAAGAACATTAAGAACACTCAACAGTGTACTTGTACCAAAGAGTTATTTTTTCTAAATAACAGATTTAGAAAAAATAAAATTTCAAAATAGCCTGAACGGGAGTGAAATTGCTCTTAAAACTAGCAATTTTTCAAACCTGGGCTTCTAGAGGACTAGGATACCCTGAGTAGAGGAACTATGTGGTTAATCTATGGGCTATTTGGAGTAGTGGAAATAGTGCATCTGTAACTCGAGATAAACTGCTTATAAAGAATTTAGGCTGGTGGCGGTTTTTTTCCTCTTCAACAATGAGATCCACAGTAAAGTTCTGTTTTTATTTACTTTCAATTATTAAGCAAATAATATTACATTCAACCATTTCTTAAATTAAGGAGAATTATTAAATTAGCTCTAAATTTCTTCTTTTAATCTTAGGAACCAGGAAATAACATCTGCATTAGTACCTGTCTTCATGGGCATGCAAGGGTTAAAAATAGCATACTGACAGTACCTGGATGATGGCAAGAGGAAAAGCATATAGATTCTGTTTCCATAAACTCTCTCATCACCTTTTACAGCTTGTTTCTGGCTAAAACATAATATTTAAGCTTGGTGGGTTTTAATTTCAATACTATAGATCTAAACTATTATATTTACTTGTCAAAAACATTCCTCTATAGCAGCATCATGAAATACTCTGCCTACCTATATTGTTTTACTTCGTGTTACTCCTTATTGCAATCTCCATAATGTGAACAATACTTTAATGTAGTAATCAATCATGTTCCTCTGGGAAAAACAAACAAAACAAAACCAACATAATCCAAAGTTCACCAATGCTTTAGGATTAAAAAAAACTGAATCCAACTAATATTTTATAATGACCAGTAAAATCAGCAAAAATAAAAAGCATTTTATAAATCAAGTGTTTTACCTTTTCGTCCAGGGTATACGTGAGGGTAATATTCATAATAAAGATCAGGCTGGTCTAAATTTCCAAATTGTTCAAATTCCATTTCTGCATTTTGGAATAGATTCAGTTTTACCAGCAGTGCTAGTCTCACAAACCACAGCTAAAAATCAATACATATAAAAAAAAGGGGGAAAGTCTGTTATTAGGTTCAATCACAAGCCACATCCAAATACAATTTCAACTTTCTAAGTTCTTCTGATAAAAGCTGAGTAAAGAGTTTCTATGTTACTCACTGAAAAGAACAGGGATTTATATTTACATACTCTTTCACAAAATACTTTTCATCAGATCATTAAAACAAAACACAGAGGACTGATGGTTTAATTGTTTGTAAAGATAGTGAGATTTTGAAGATGAAGTTTAAAAACTAGCCTGCTTCAAAATCAGAACATCTCTCTTTAACCTGAGTTAGCATGTATGAATTATCAATCTGATATATTAATTGTTTTTCCAATTTTATGCTATTCTTAAAATCTCTTAGGATTTTGGTGAAATTCCATGAGCTTTATAGTTACTAGGGCCAAAACCATCAGTTTTCATCTGGGTTACATCTGAACCACTTGTAATATTTTATTAAATTGGGTTCTTACTTTCTTATTAACATGAAACACATTCTCCCATTTGAAATCTTACTACAAAGTTCACAGTCTAGATAGTTCTATGAACTCTAGCACAGAGAGTCTTTCAAGACAGTAAAACATTTCATTTTGCTAGTGTGATTACCTTTAAAGGCATACAATCAAGATCGAATTCTACTTAAAAAAATAAGTTTGTTTTAAATGAAGACCTACTTTCCTTAAGCAAACAGAGAAAGTGACTTACTACAATGTTTAAGTAAGCTCAGTTTTCAGGTTACAATTAGGAAAAGAAGTTTGATCATGTTAAAAAAACTGCCACTGTGAATATTGTTGGAAAACAGTGACAAGGGTGTATCTGTAAACATACCTGTAAAGAATCTGTTGTATGGTTAGCAGGCTGTCCACTTTTTTTATAGCCTTGACCATGGGCAGTTAGAAGCCGCCCACACAAGTCAACTGCTGCCCTCCAGTTTTTACTGCTCTGGGAAGAAGAAAAGAGTAAGTAGCAAAATCATAAAGCCCCTAAAATGCACAACTGCTTATTTTGCCTGAAGCAGCAACTTGTACCCATCAGTAATAATGACAAGGTCAGGAGAACTGGCCAGTGAGAAGCAGAATGTCGTTTGTCAAAGCTGCACATCTAATTAGGCAAAAAGTGAAATCAAGCATTAATATTATCAGACCACTAAACCAAAAGAATATACAAACCCATAAAGAATTCTAAAATTAAAGCTATATAATATTTGATAATATAAATGAATATACTATAATATCCACAATTTTGTTTTTTCATCAAAAGGAGAAAAAAATTCCCAGCCATATATTATCAATAATCACAGTCAAATTACTCTACTATTACAAAGTATTCAATGTCTATTCTTATCTCACTGACTTCAGTATTTCAGATTATAACCCCTAGTGCAGTTCATTTAATGAAAATAAACTTTCCTAACATTGCCCAGAACATTCCTAGCAATCAGGAACAAAGGACAAGAAACAATACAATGCATAAAATGATAAATTCAGAACAATAACAACTGTTTCACCTATACAATGTAAACATCTGAATTTCCATTTCATGACTAACTTCAAAATGTTAAATTTATTTTTTTATTCATAAAACAAAACTATTCTTAGTTAACAGTCCTGTTACACTGCCATCCTATTAATGTATAGCCTGTATAGCCTTGTATAGGCTGATGCAGCATACCAAGACCTTAACACACAGACTAATGTTTCACAAGTTTTAAGCTGTCATACTTTTCTATCATACCAAAGGGATTTTCAAGAGACATGTACCCAGCAGGTCATTCTGAAATAAATATATCTTATTCCTGAAAGTAATATTTCTTTCAAATAGTTTCTTAAATACATTAAAAAAAAGGTAATAGAAATTGTCATGTTGTCTGATGAAACGGTAAGAAAGAAAATATATTTATATTGGTGCTTGCAAGTTCGGATACTAACCTCAAACTGGTATTTTATTAAATCCTCTCCAATGTTTTAGAAAACATGTCGATACAGCAAACAGTTACATCAAAAATTAGTAGTAACAACTGAAGAGTTTTCATACTTTCTGGCCTCCATTTTGCAGCCATACAGTTCAAAGGGCCACTATAGAGACCACCATGCACTAACCACCTCATCTCTCTCCCCTGCAATGTCAAATGCCAGATAAAAAGCTGAGTTCCACTAGAAATGCAGAAGCAAGACAGCAAGACCACAAAACAGCATGGCAGAATCTGAGACACCTACACTCTCATGGAAAAGCAGGAACTGATAATGCCTTTACAACATCCTTCAACATCTACCTGTATCAACTTAGAAAAGCAGAAAGATACTGACACGGATTACCTGAAATTCATTCCGCTTCTGGAGAGACAAATTAAATTCTTATTATCCTTAGAATAGAAGCAAACACAGACTCAAAACTGCACAACTTTTCTTCCCAAATGAGAGTTAAGATCCAAAAATAATAATGGATCATTTATGACAAACTTAGTTGCTACAATTTTCTAAATTCTATTTTGGGTATGGACAAAAAATACTTTTTCTTTATAGAACAAGACAGCCAGGAAAAGCAAGTCTGACAGTCATTGTGAAAACAGTCTTTGCTGGAAAATGAAACATAACATTCATCAACATTTCAAAATTAGAGCTGCCTGCTGATCATGAAGCATAATTCTCTGTGGAAGCTTAATAAAAGGCAGTACAACTTCATTTGAAACAAACTGGACACATTATTTTCTCTGGCAAACTGTACCAAACTTAGAGTTGCCAGTCCAGCAGAAATCTTTCTCCAGTTATTTCAAACACCCCTCAAAACCTTGCAGGTCAGTCACTTTCACACTTCCTACGGTCTACAAGCACAGGGTCCTAATTGTCTGGGTCCCTTGTTCCTGAATTTTGTTTGTAAGTCCTAAGTTGAGGCCTAAAGCAAGTATGGACACTACAGCTTCAGATACCGCATCAAAAATACTGAAGAATATCTTCAAAGACAAAAATAATTTTTCTATGATGATCAGGACACGGTCATCTATCTGCTATTGTGTAAAAACATTAATTTCTCCAAGAAAAAATACTGTCAACCAAATATTATTGCCAACTAGGTCACTAACACAGCGGCAGCCAGCAGCAGAGAACTTCTCTCCACACGACACTAGCATTATCTTTTTCTGCCTCCTCCCCCCCGAAATAGGAAGTTGTTCTTTTAATGAAAGCCACCAGTTTGTATGATTTCTGTACTTTTTGAGCACTGTTAGTCCAGATATTTATCTTGTGAAAGGAGTTTTTTGGTCCATATACATAACCAAAAATTAAAAGAAGAAAAACAAAAACATGTCAGTACTGACTGATGTACACACACCAAAGCTGAGCCAAGCAGAGCAGCCACCCAACAGACAATGCACTATTCCCTGCAGAACTTCTCTGTTCTTCAAAAACACAGAAATCCTGGGGGAGGTTTACATACAGACAGGGAAACTGCATAGTAAAACAGGTTTCAAATGCAATTCTTCTGTCTAGCAAAGCAAGTCATGAAGGCTGGATGTCTGTGGAAAACGTGTTCAGTGATAGAAAGGGAACTCCACTGATACACAATTTATAACATTATTCAGTCTCTCAGGAAAAGCACTGAAATTTTATTCAGTAAGTAGAAATGCAACCTTTTCCCACAAGTACTCAGCTACTATTTGTGCTACTTGTATCTTCCATCTTCTCTCAAATCAGCGACATGAGAAATTGCTCACTGATTTAGAAACAAAAGAACAATCCCCTCCCCTATTTTCAAGGATAATTTTGAACTTATTAAAGTGAGTATGTATGCCATACCATTGTATCCAGATTTATTATATTTGAAAATATATGCAAAAGCACAACATTAATCAGGTGCAAAAGTAGCAGTATATGACTTTTTTTAAATACACTCAAAGGGAGTCATTAACTCTACATGTAACACCATTAAAGTGATTAAAATGTCCTCCTCCACTAGCTATGACATGCTTCTCCCCTGTAAATTACATTGGTAGAGCACTTCCACATCAGTTAAGAAAATGTAGTTAGTAACCCTTTCCTGGCCTAGCAGCTTGAAGAATGATTGTATGTTTAGAGCAAGCACTGTGTATTTATAGTGGCAAGATATAGCAGTCTTTTTTTAGGTATAATAACTATCTAAGACAAAATTTTCTTATGGCTTACAACTCAAAACATCAGAGGGGTCTCTATGAAGACAGACTGCTATTTCTTAAAATGAGTGTAAACAATTAATCTAAAATATGGAATAACAGGAACTAACATAATTGCAGCTTGCACCTTGTATTTGCTGCTGTAAAACAAAGCAACGTTGTGAAGACAGGTTCTTGCTTACATTTATTTGCTCTAGACGTAAATGCATGTTCCTATGCCAGATTGATAAAACTTTTTAGAAACTGAAAACTCAAGATATTCTGCTTTCAGTTGAAAAATATAAAAACCTTCCCTGTACAGATGTATAACTCTATTCACTAGTTATTACAGAATTATTTTGCTGAACTGCTCCAGCACTCCTGTATCTCTTACAAGCCCCAAAGTTGTAAGACTAACTCAACTACACCAATTCACACCATTACCCTACCAGTAAAACATTTCCAATCCACTGTTACCCATTTGATAGCAGAAATTCAAAATGCGAAAGTACAGTTGTTCAATAAACTATCTTTGGTTTACTGGTACAAATCTCACTCAAAACAACTACAGACCAAAACAATTTTGTTAACCAAGTTTAACAACCTTAGTTCAGTTCCTGCTGAACAAGAATTTGTCTTAGGCATGATGCTGCTGTTGGTGGTTTCATCAGAAAAGGTGCACCTCTGGAAGCTCAGCTTACTAACTTCTTGGTAACTTTTGTTTTCTAGCAACTAATTGTACTTCAGGAAACTTTTGCAGACTTTGCACTATGATTCCCCCAAAAGGACATCAGTCTCCAACATTCTTTGCTGCAAGCAGAAATTTCATCTTTCCCACAGAATTGTTTTTAACTTAAATGGATGTGAAAAGTTATTACTCTAGGATGCACACTGGAATCAATCAAATTTAAGATACTGTTTTGTGACCCTGATGAAAAGACCTGGTATCTGCATTTGTAGATGTAATGTAGGAAGTACTGTCACTACATGTAAGGACCACATCACCAAAGAGGGATAAGATGATTTACAATGTCAGCATATGAAATCTTTAACCTGCAAAGTCATGTAACTTACAATGTAATGTGCACTCTGGGCAGTGATAACAAAAAGATGTTGGCTTCAATTGGAAGAGATTCTGAGAAGAGCTCCTAAGATGCTTGTGAAGGCATCCATGACTAAATTACTAGAGATGGGTTATTTTTGGAATTGCCACTGCTGTTTACCCATACAAAGTAGCAGGGCAGAGGAAGTAAATACTGAGAAAAGAAAATTACTTAAAAAGCAACATGAGACCAAAACACTTAAATTGTTGTAAACAACTTTAGCTTCGATTAGAAAGAAAGATTTTGAGAGAGGACTGATTAGAATTCCTTTGATTAGCAAGCAAAGGAATGAAGTTCTGGAATAGCCTTTGAAAGTAGCAGTAGTGTTTTTTTGTTTATTAGTTAAAATAGACAAATAGGAAAAGAGAAGCAATTGTATGGTAGAATAGAGAAGCTTCAGAATTGCAGCTGAAGACTTTTGGTATGAAGATTTGGGCTACTAGTGAGCCACTTAGTATGTTTTTCCCACCCACACAGGATTAAAACAGTAACCAGATACTAATGAAGTGGTTTCCTCTGAAGCAGACAAACCTGGAATAGCATTCTTTTTTTCTAAATTTTTTTCCATTCCATAATACAATGGAGTCCACCCAAGATCATCTGAGAATTCTAACCTAACAAGTTTTTCAGAACAGAACCTAACATTCACTTTTTGTTTCACCTGCCACTGGTGTCTTCCTACAATATGTGACAATTCTTGAGACTAAATTTAGATGTGATCAGTGACTGTATTATTAGACCTCTATAGACTTCAGGGTTTGGACATCAGCTCACAGGTAAACTCTTAAATAACAGGTATCAGTCTGAAGCTGAAGTCTATCCTAATTCCAAGTATTTCTCTTCTGTACTGTGGACCCATGTGAAATACAGTCTTTTGAGTTGCTGCAAGGGATTGAGTTGAGTGATAAAGAATCTCACTAATTCTCATGTTCATGTGTAGTTCAAGGATACCAAATAAACTCCTAAGGAAAAAAAATGTAATGTTATGGAAACTGCGTAGCAATATTGCCAATGTGCATCAGTCTTTAACCAGATCTTAAATGAAAATATGTCCTGTAAGTGGTCCTTTGCATCAAAAGATTTATTCACTGCACATATGTGTTCAGGAATTCACTCATAAACAAAGTAAAATTGGTGACTGGTAACAGAATATTTATTATATGTCATTCTGGCCTATGTATTAAAAAGTATATATATTTTTAATTAGTATCATCTAGCAAGGGATTTTAATGTTTCTAAGTCTGAAATCTCTTTCAAACATTAAAGACTGTTGTCAATCAGAAATAAATTTTCTACATTTAGAATTTCAGAAAAAAATAGCAATGTTTGCAAGGGAAAAAATTGACCAACTAATTATCATCATAAAAAGAAACAAAATTCTGGAAATGAAACTGAGAAATAGTTATATGGTATCATAAAAAACAATTAACAGCTAATGATTGAGAGCCTTGAAAATTGAAGAACATTCTGACTTCTAGCTGAATGGCTGCAATTTTATAAACCCCCCGATCCTTCTAATAAGACAAGTTTTTAAATAAAAATGATCTACAGGTAGCAAAAGATGCTACAGCTGCATAGTGCCTCCTTAGCTTCGCTGCCTTGAGCATAAGAACCTTAACACGGCTCTTCTGGAGCTTAAGAGCATGTTCAAAACTAAAACAGTATCAGCACCAGCACTGTATTTAAGCTACAAGGTTGTCTACAGCACAGAAGAACATCTTGCAGAGACACCAACTACCAGGCTAAATGGAAGAATGTTCCCCATTGCCCTCCTGGAAGAGGGAAAGAAACTGCAGAAAAAACACTTGTCCTACTTAGACACTGATGGGTACAAGATTTCCCCATAAGATTTTGTTTTCCCCTCCAAACTCTCAAGCAAAGCAAAACATTGAGACAAATTGAAAAATATCTGTCTCTAGGATGGAGATCACAATCTGTTTTTTGGCTTTAGTTTCCAAAATCACCGCTGAATTCCTTTAACAGTGCTTGCTGAAACCTCCCAGAGTATTCCTAACATGACAAAAAGTTGTCTCTTTTGAAGCTTTACAAGTCAAGTCACACGCTTAGATTGAAAGACGTTAAATATCAAATACAGACTGTCCTAACACTTGTAATTCCTCACAGCTTTTCCTCAGTAATTTTTCACCCATTTTGTTCAAAAATAAAATGAGTCAAAAATACCTTGTCATGTCACCAGATTAGGTAAGGCTCAGTTATGTAATAGTAATGAGTTTCATACAGGAACACAGTGGTAGAAGGAGGGTTCACGAGGCTGCTAGATGCAACTATTTACAGGACAGAAATATTTACATTAATGAAAGGATTAAATTAAGCTTTCCTTTGGAAGCAATTTACTTTAGTTTTCCTGCACTGAAGTAAAAAATTAGGCATTACCATTTACAACTCGTACATCTTGCCTTTTGTAAAGACTCAGGTGAAAACATAATTACGTATGCAAAAAAGAGATTAAAATCTGTTTTACAACCATTTACAACACAAAAAAAAATTTACAGTCACTTAAGATAACCTTTTCTCTAACTTTTGTATATTAAAAAAATGTTTACTGAATGATTTAAAACCAAATATTTAAATCCCAGCGTCATTCCCTTTAAAAATTACTGTAGTTTGGTGAGTATTATGGCAGGATCACGGATAGACTGATTTGTAGATTTTTTTCCCCAGTTTCTCTGCACATTCAGTAATTCCCAATTATCTTTAGGGAAGCATAGTATTTAATACATACTAAATTACAAAGATTGTTACTTACAATTAGCTGTTTCAAGCCCACAAATGACTGCTCCACAGAGCTGGTGTTCAAAACTTGTCTCTTCACTGCAGCTTGCTCCCCCAAGAAGCGAAGCATTAACTCTTTTACTGCATCTCCCTTGGTGTTCATGGAATAGAAAAACAAGACACACAACAAGACTCTTTTAAACATTATTTTTGCAAATAAGATGTAGAATTAAAGCTGAGCAACATAGTTCTTTCCTCTAGAGAAATACTTATTTTCCAGTACTTTCTGTGTGAAATAAATATAACTGCATGTGTATTTACAGCATTGTAATGAAAATTTCTACATTTACTCCACATAACTCGGTATATTCTTGGTATATTCTAACTGCTTTCAGTTAGCATTGACACATTCAGGTTTATTTGCTTCTCATATTATTATCGCTCACAGATCTTACAAAATATTCCTCAAAGATCTTATGAAACACAATCAGTTTTATGGGTTTTCACAATGTCTATTAACATTGAAAGGTGCAAGCTACTGATCAAAGATAAACATGCACAGGATAAGCTAGCCTTACATACCCACAGAAAATAAACTTGAGAAATCACACAACAAAGTAAACAGCAATCCTTCAATAAGTGTTCTTAATTTCAAAGGAACTAACTGCAAGAATCTGGGCTACCTGAGCTCAATAGCTTTTTGCTTAAAAAAAAGATGAAATTAATAAAATACAGCTATGTAAAGACAATTGATACTAAATGTTGGCACTTTCCCCATGGACAATGATGGGAAATATATTTGTGTTTAAGGAATGAGACTGCAACTATGCTTTCACTACATGGAAATCCTTTACCTCTAATGCTGTCACTTATCCTATGAATAAATAAGATATCCATCTTTCGGACAGAAGAGTCCAAAGGATTAAGAAAAGACTGTGTGCAAAATTACATGAATACAGAAGAATTCCTAATCTCCCCCAATAGCACTTTGGACCCAACAGTACTTTGGAGAATGAAACAGTAAAAATGAACATAATGAAACAAAGGACAGCAGACAGCAACTCATGGAAAAAGGTATAATGGAAAGAGCATAAAAAGCTGCACTCAGAAGCTCGAAGAACACAGGTGCAGACAATCTGTACCATTCACAATCCAAGATAATTTAAAAACAATGCTTCTTGAACAATCACCAAAAGCAGCTGAAATAAAAAAATATTCAGTATTTTTCTTGGTATGATTTATCCACATAAAATTTATCTGAAAAAATTTTCAGACAATACACTTGTTACACAAACACTTTCTGAGCAAGCAGGGAAAAGAGTAAAGGATCAAACTCTTTAATACACATCATGCAAAATTTCAGTCCTTCCCTGAAGCACATTTCCAGTTCACTCAATGTAAATGCACTTTACAACCAACTTCTCTGTCCACTGCATGCAGCCTGGTTTAACATCTTGGATTAACATTTACATTAGCAAACTATTCATACCAAAGCCATAATGACTATTGTTGGAAGCTGCTTTAACATTGAAAACGTGCCTCCCACAATGTTTCAGTTGACATTTCAAGTACTCTACAATTATAGTTTCAGTTAAATACACAGTTTGCATACTAGTAGGGTATGGAACAATGTACCAAAGTAGGGGATGTCAAGTCAGTCAAGTCATGCACTCAGGCCATTGAAAAGCAGTAACTGAAAGTGAGGAAAGTTGCCTAAACATAAAGCATTTCAAAACTTGTCCCGGCTGACATATCTAGGAGATTACTTATAAATTATAATCAATGAAGAAAGCAGCAGGAATGCCCCTTAATTCCATTCATGATTTTACATCAGGTCTTATTGTAGAAATAAATCACATGGATATTGCCAAACATTTTCTTTTAAATTATGTACTAAATGGTACATCTGCATATATGCACATGGCCAGACCTAGGGAATCATCAGCACAAACAAGCCTTTAATCGATGATTGGACTGAAAAAAAGCGAGCAAGAACTATTGTGAAAGAGAAGGCCTGCAATAAGGAAGCCCTCATCCTTGGAGCCTGCAGAAGAGATCATTCCTTCTGTCCATCCCATTAGCTGTCAGGAGAGGCATAGCAGACACTCTTGAATAACTCAACAAGGTCTAAGGAATATTTTGGGCAAGGTGGGAAGGACAGGAAGAGTAGCAGCTTCCTATTACAATGTTTTCATTCATGCTACTTTTCAGACTCTGTGACACAAACAAACATTTTAAGATAAATTAACCCAAGAAGCAGCAGCAGCATGGCATATGTCTAAAACTGGTATAATTTATTGATTGTGACAGAAAACTAAGATTTGTCAGTTAATTTAGCTACAAATCTGGACCCAACTCATTCCAGAAACTTTTCCGACAGCTCCTGCAGATTAGGAAGTTACTGCAGACTATTCTCTGCTTTGCTTTAGACTATTGACTGATAATCTTTGTTATGCACATTTAAAGATTAAAATATTCAAACCCTCAAGACCATCTATCTAAACAACAATTCTATTATCCAGAGACATAGATATCAAAGAGTAGGATTAGCCTATTTCAAGAAAAAAACCCAAAACATTACGATAGTCTTGGCTAGGATAAAATTGCTTCATTAGAAATCCTGAACAGATCTGAGTGAAATTTCTCAAATTCTGAAAAAAAAGCTTTATGCCTTCTCAGCAGTTGGAAACTCTGATAGAAGCAAAAAATTGAGTTTTCACTGCTATGTTTTTTGCTTCATGATCTCATTTGGAGTTTTCCCTTTAGTTTTGGGGTTATCCCTTCCCACTGCCTTGCTGCAGCACTCCATCTTTCTTACAGGTTATACCTTTCCACAGTTTAGGGAAGATAGAAAAGATGCAATTTCAGTTAGTATTAACATTATTGAGAACACTGTGAACATGAGTGAAAAACTCTTATTTCCCAGTTGGTTGCAACAGTGAATTCCACAAACAAACAAAGCTGTCTGCTTTCAGACTGGAGTACAGCATAGAGATTTTGTATATATTCCAAATTCGAGCATTATCTTACTAACTAGGAGGACCAGAAACCAAGTACTTAAAAATACAACCAGCTTTGGATTCTAAGGAAATTGTCAACACTGGTTTTCAATGTACCCATCAAATGTCACTATGAATAAATTAGATCTAGTTTTATCCCTTATACGTATGAGTAGGTAGTGCCGCTGACTTTTGTTAGGTTTGAAGTAATACACACAAGGTGACCATCAGCAATATGAAGCACTATGATATACACATTACTGGATAGCTCTTACACAGTATTTCTAAAATATAATCATAGACTAAGATGCAATAACAGACTCTTACCTGGATATTATCAAATTTTAATCCAGGCATGGTAAGATTCTCTTTATCTATGAACACAGTGCTGTATTGTTGTGTGGCAACTGAAATGAGAACATTCCTTGTTTCTTCGCTAGGAAGCCAAGCATCATTTCTTCTATCTAGTTCACTCATATTTAAGGCTGTGGCAAATGGATCATCACTCCCAGCAAAAACAGCTTGGATTTGTGAGAATGGCTTGGGGGATTGAGTCATTTCTAGAGATGAGGGAGTACCACTCGCTTCAGGTCTCCCATTGCGCACAGGGAAAGTAGGGTTAGATGAAGCACAAGAACCATCTCCACCGTTAGCAAGAGAGGACATTTGTTCTGGAACTGAAGAGCTTGCATTGGGATTACTAACAGAAATAAAATTGGATGTGGTAAATGAATCAAAAAAATCAGAAGCTAAAGTATTAGTGTTAACAGTGTCGCCAAAGAATTTGCTCAGACTAGGACTTGGTTGAACCACCTGCGGATTAGACTTCACTGGAGTCTCAATTATACTACCAAAACTGGGAGATTTTACCATCTGAGGTTCAAAACCATCAGGCAGGAACAACTGTGGCTGGGTACTAACATTGTTTGCTTGGCTAAAGATGGTGCACACAGGAATAGGCTCAGCCTCAGAAGATGGTTTGCTAGTACTGGGGGACGATATTTGGTCCTCAGGTTTGCTTTCATCAATATTATTTGGGTTTTTTTCAACAGAAATGTTGTTTTCCATCTTTGGTTCCTCCTTCACTGCTTCCTGAATTGATTCTTCCTTCAAAGATGCCTGATCATCTGTTCCAATCTCAGAAATGTCTTTGGGTGTTTCTTCATGTTCAGTTTCACTCTCATTACTTAAAAACTCTTCTTTATCTTTATCTTCTGCTTCTGTTTTTTTATTATCTTTAGCTTCCATTTGTTCTACAATCTCCTGGAGACAACCAAGTTCACCTGTGTCATCTTCGCTATTGTTTGGTGAATCTGAAATAATGACACTCTCCATCATTTGCTCATTAAGTTTGTCTACAAAATTATTTGAATCTTCTGATACAGTTTCGTTCCCTTCAGACTCAAATTCATCTCCACCAAGATCAATGGTTTCCTCATGAAAGAGAATTTCCTCCTGAGTTTTCTGCTGGACTATGTCTCTGTTATCATCTTCATCTGAGGTGCTCTTTGCATCCTTAGCATTACTTTCATTATTCTCCATGGTAACTGAAGAGGGAAAAGTCCCCACCAAAAAAAGAATTAGTTTTGTTTCTCTGGTGTTGGTCAGGCGTCACAGTGAAACTCCTAAGACTCATATAAAGGCTGAAATTCTTGCTTTAAAAAATATAGTAATTTCACTATATGACATCTTTCATTTAACACCTAACCACAGAATAAATTAATTTTGAAAATATATTCTCTCCATCCTTTCTGCACATCGCAACAATATTGGGATTGAAAACCAAAGGCCTCTCACTGAACAAAGGCAAAACAATTTAACAGAATGCTTTGGCTGGAAGGAGATCTTGAAGATCATCTTGTTCCAACCTCCCTGCCGTGGGCAGGGACACCTTCAACTACACCAGGTTGCTCAGAGCCCCATCCAGCCTGGCCTTGAACCCCTCCACGGATGGGGATCTACAACTTCCCTGGACAACCTGTTCCAGGGCCTCCATATTTGCTTCAAAGCTCGGAAGCCCAGCTCGGTCCCCGTTCCAGCGAAGGGCCGCGCAGTCTCAGCGCTGTCCCCAGCGCGGGGCCAGACAAGCGGGACCAGCGCCCAGCGGAGCTGCAGCACCCCCGCGGCCCCGGGCTGGGCTGGGCTGGGCTCGGCGCTGCCTCCGGTGCCACCGCGGGTGCCCTGGCCCGGCCGCCCCGCGGGGGCGGGGGCGCAGCCTCCACCTGGAGCAGCCCCAGCGACACCCGCCCACTCGGACGGCCCTCCGGCAGCATGGGAGCCGCGCGGCCGCCCCCGTCCCATTCCATCCCATATGTCCCATTCCATCCCATACATCCCATCCCATTCCACCCCATCCTGTCACCTCGGCGCCGCCGCCGCCACCTCCCCCGGCGCCGCTCCCCCCTCACGGCGCCTGCGCGAGGGCCGGGCCGCGCGCAGCTCCCGGAAGCGGCTGGCAACGGGCTGCGCCGAGGGCCAGAAAGCATCGGGCGCGGGCGGGGGTGCGCGGCGGGGCTGAGGGGCCGCAATGGAGGACGACGCGCCGGTGATTTACGGGCTGGAGTTCCAGGTGAGCGCGGACGGGAGGATGAGGGAGGACTGGCAGTGCCGGTCCTGCCTCCGGGAAGGCGGTGGCTGCGGGGTCGCTTGTGTGTGGTGGGGCAGGGGAGAGCACACGGGCGTCCCCTCGCTCCCCCGAGCAGCATCGCGGGCACCGCCGGCTCTCGGAGGCTGCGTTGGGTATTTTAAAGGTGGCTGAGCAGGGGGCGGGAGCCAGTCCCCGCTCCAGAACCCGCTATTTGCGGGGCCAGGGCAGGACTCGTTCCCTCAAGGGCGCTGGGGGGAATCCTGCCCTGTCACCGCGCCTGGTCCACCGCTGGAGAAGCCTTTGCCGGGCTCTGGGGTCGCACGAAAACACCGTCAGTCTCGAAGAGATCCCTGTAGTTCATTCTGCCTTCTCAGAAAGAAAAAAAATGATTAAAACCTCTTTTGTAAGGAGAAAGCATGAAACTGTTTCCAGTAAGTTGCCAATTTTAGTTGGTTACATCCTGCTGTAAGTTACATGATTTTTGTGCGATCTCTTGCTGCGAGTTCCATGTCTGTGCATTTGTCCCATGGAACAAATCTGTCCATCATGGTAGTGGTTTTGGCTATAAGGAAATGGAACTATCTATCTTAGGAATTTATTGGTCATCTCCTTAGAGGAATACAGGTGTTTAATAAGGTTCCTACAAGTTCTGGGAAAACAAACAGGAAGGTAACTGGAAGGGTGAGCGGGACCCTAACTCATGATTCCCCCAATAAGGGCTTTACTCAGCTGTTACATGTTCTTTTGGCAATAGCTGGCTTATCATCGTTGTAATATAGAATAATAGCTGCAGAAAAAACACAGCACTTCCTAACAGAACAATTCATTCTACAGTAGATGTAGTAATGTAAATATCTACACAAGTACTTTTTTTTAGGCACCTTTACTAAAGTACTCGTGGAAAGTAGTACACAAAGGTTTTTAGTAACAGGTGTCCTGGCTACTGAGCCATGTACTCTGGAGTCAGACTACGCCAATAGATCTCCTTAGCAAATTGTGTATTTGCTTGGTTTCCTCTTGTATAGGAGCTGGTATGTAAAACTCACCTGTTCTAAATGTTGAATGTACTGAAGTCTGATGATATGCTATCATTTTGCGATTGTCTACAGATAGCTGTAACTCTTACTTTGAAATTAATAAAACTTTTATTCTGCAAAATAGATTTCAGTATAGAATATATATCCTGTACTTAAAATTCGTAGCTCCTTTCTAGTAGGTCATATATAGTGAGTCTTCCAGAAATTTTGGAAGGCTAGTCTGTGTATTGTCTGGAACCTCCATGGACCTGTGCTTCCTCCACCCCATCCCCCCACCAAACCATGTATCTCCTAGAGACCTCTTCTCTTCTGCCAGGTATGTGAACAGGGTTGTCTGGCAGGAGGATTAAAGAAAATGGATGAAGAAAGTGGCCATAATAAAAGGAAATTACTGTTAGTACCGATCACTTGGAGAGAAGGTGAGGAAAGAAGAGATGGTTTATGGGTAAGCTGGAAAAGGAGCATAGACATGAAGGTTCTATTTCTGATCTCCATTAACTCCCAGTGTAGCTTTAAAACAAATCACATCTCTGTACTTTCTGAAAATGGAGAGATTTTAATGGAGAAACTTAAACCTAAAACTAGTCTGGTCTTTCTAACTTGTGTCTCCAGGTCTAATAAGAAAGATAATTTCTTTTTTTAAGCCTCATTTCTTCTGTGTTGCTAGATAATAATGGTTAGCTGCATCATCACAATTACTGCTTCTTGTCTGAAAGCATCTCTTCAGACTGATTTTTCAACCAAGTTTAAAAAATTTTGTCTTTGTTTCTTATGGTTGGTTGGGATTTGTTTGTGTTTTTTTAAAAAATTTCCAGTCTTTACTTCAGCTCTATGACAAGCTTATTCAAAGTTGACTTTGAAATTACAAAGTAATTAAAAGGAGGAAGGGATCTTCTTACTCTTGTTTCAAATAAAAATTATATTTCGCTAAACGGTGACATGTAGAAACTACAAGAGGGATTGTGGACTGAGAAGCAAAATGTGTCTCCAGCAGTCAAGAAGAATCTGTCTTTGGCCACTGACAAAGTGTAGTTTGCAGATATGCTTTTCATCTGATCTGATGTGGCTGGGTTTATAAGAACCTAAAGCTGATTCCTACTAGGGTGATATCCACCAATTAACTTAAAATTATTTCTGTTCATTTCCATGTGCAGAATGTGTTCTGATGTATTGGCATAAGTAAGGTAACTTAGAGTAATGAATAAATATATTTTTCTCCTTTTTTTTAATCCCCTTTTCATCAAAAAATGATTTAGTGGAACAGGAGAGTCTTACTTAGGGCCATGTCATTCACAGAAAGTTCTAACACTCGAGAATGAAAAGTAAAGATATTCTGAGCAGTTATACAACTGTTTATCGCTACTTAGCAAGTGTAAGTATTGTGGAAAAAGTTTTACCAAGTAACAGTGAGAAACAATTTTGGTTTGCTTTTGTCTGGGGTGGAGATAAGGGGGAAGCTAAACATCTTAACAGCAAAACCAGAATAAAACTAGTGATAGTTTTCTGCATGATTAGTTAAATTTTTGAGCTGGTTAGTTCCTCCTGTTTTACTAGACATCTGGAACTTCTTTTTGTGCTGTTTTGAATGTTCATATAACCCCAAAAACATAGGTTTTAGGAGTGGTTTTTTTGTCTCTTGAGTGTGTCTGTGAGCTATATGAGCGGTGTACAGACAATACAAATTATATGTGAACTTTAGGGTGCGTGGTTCTTTTTGTGACTTTTTTAAAGACAATATCCCACCATATTTGCTCCGATCATCTGACTGTAGTGAAAATGAGAAAATTACAGATGGATGGTGAATGAAAATGTGAGTTGCTACTTGAATTGAGGACTGAGTGATGTAACTGTGGCTCATGATGATGGATACAGAGCAACCAGTGTAGCTGCAGAACACTTCACAGAATCACAGAATATGCTGAGTTGGAAGGGACTCACAAGGATCATTGAGTCTAACCCTTAGCCCTGCACAGAACCATCCCCAAGAGTCACACCATGTGCCCGAGAGTATCATCCAAATGCTTCTTGAACTCCACCAGGCTTGGGGCTGTGACCACTTCCCTGCTGAGCCTGTTCCAGTACCCAACCACCCTCTGGGTGAAAAACCTTTCTGTAATATCCAACCTAAACCTTCCCTGACACAACTTCAGGCTGTTCCCTCGGGTCCTGTCACTGGTCACCACAGAGAAGATATCAGTGCCTGCCCCTCCTCTTCCCCTCACAAGGAAATAGTAGACTGCAATGACATTTCCCTTCAGTCTCCTCCATGCTGAACAGACCAAATGACCTCAGCAGCTCCTCATGTGGCTTCCCCTCAAGGCTCTAGACCATCTTCATTGACCTCCTTTGGACACTTTCTAGTACCTTAATATCTTTCCTATATTGCAGTGCCCAAAACTTCACACAATATTTAAGGTGAGGCCGCCCCAGTGCAGAGCAGAGAGGGACAATCCCCTCCCTCAACTACCTGGCGATGCTTTGCCTGATGCCCCCCAGGACACGGTTGTCCCTCCTGACTGCCAGGGCACTGCTGACTCATATTCAACTTTCCATTGACCAGGACCCCCAGGTCTCTTTTTATGGCACTGCTTTCCAGCATCTCATTCCCCAGTCTGTATCTACATCCAGGATTGCCCCATCCCAGGTTTAGAATCCAGCACTTTCCCTTGTTTAACTTCATGTGGTTGGTGATTGCCCAGTCCTCTGATTTGTCAAGGTCTCTCTGCAGGGCCTCCCTGCCTTCAAGGGAGTCAACAGCTCCTCCCAGTTTTGTGTCATCTGCAAACTTGCTTAGTATCCCTTCCAGTCCTGTATCCAAGTAATTTATGAAGATGTTGAAGAATACCGAAAGGTTGTTATTCTAAAATGAACCTTGGTAGTATTCAATATTCTCAGTTATAAAAATGTGATGAATGAGGTCCCAGGAGTATCGCTAAGTGCTTTGTTTCAGAAGCACTGAAATTATGTGCTTCTTGTCCAGTGTAAAGTTGATGTAGGTCTAACCTGGAGTATCTGGTATGTCTACCCTGTGTTGAATTGGCTTTCATTTTCAGGGAGTCACAATTTTCCCCGTGTTATTATTGAGGGTTTAAACAGTGATGTTTTGAGCAGATGTGTAAGCATACTGAATGTCTCAAAATACTGTATTTGCCTTAGTTTAAGCTTGACTGAGTGATTCTTATAGGCCTGAAATGAGCAATGTATAGAGGTGCTTTTGGGGATAGGTATTTGGCTCAAGACAACAAACGTGGGTAGAGCCTTTCCCAAATCTTCATTTGCGAAGCCCAGCCATGATGACATCTTTCTTGTTTAAAAGCATGGGTGAGGGAAGAGGAACATTGCTTGTGCCAGAGAGTGATAATTATGGAGCGTGTGTTTGGCACATGTAATGGATTTTGGGGATACCACAGCACTGAGCTGAATTTCAGCATGCCAGACACTCCTATTGTGTATTAAATGTCAAAAGCACATGGACTTGCAAGGGAGAAGGATAATGAGCAGGAGGCAAGGACAGCAGAGCACAGGGCTGTACTGCACAAAGACAGCTCCAGCAGCACTCTGAGATGGGCTCTGACTGAAGCAGGCTTGGAAAAAGTGCAGTAATGCTTTGTCAGAGTTTGTGTAATGCATTGTGGTCTTGTCCTGCTCTTTGAGTAAGCAACACTTGCCCTGTATTATATTGTCTGTTAGTTGTTAACAGGTTTTATGAATCTGAATAGAGACTATCGATTTTTAGGACTTGCCTGTTTGCAGGAGTAAGGTGAAACTTAATTTCCCTAAAGCTAAATGTGATTTTCTAAAATAAGAAACTTCAAGCAGTGCAAAATACCAACTAAAATATATTGGTCACAGGTCTCCTACAACGTGTGTGTACTTATGTCATCAGTATGTATTGAGAATAGCTCAGCTGACCTACCTGTGATCGAGTCAAAGGCAGGTATAGATTTATTGAAAGAGGGGGTAAAAGGGGACTTCCTAATAAGATGCGTGTCACTTGACAGTTATCCAGGGAAACCTGTGCTGGCTGTGTTCGCAGTGTGGGAGCCTATAGCTCCTATGGGCAGGGGTGTTCTCTTCCCTGGGAGAGCTTTTGTGGTCTCCTGTGGGTTCAGAGAGAGCGGCCTAAACAGAATGTACATAACGATTTTGCTACAGCTTTAGCATTGTCACTGGAGGATTTATCTTGAAAATTAAAATAGTTCAAGAAACTGCATGATAATGTCTTACTGAAACTCCTGCCTTTTGTGTCAGTTCTCTTTCTTCTCTAAGATTACTTACCTCATGAGTGCCAATCCTCTATATTTTGAACCTTTTGTGTTTCAAGTTTTACTAGAGGAACAAAAGTAGCTAAGTGGCAAAGCTCTCTTAACTAATCCCCCAAAGATCTTCATAATGCATGAGGTAGATCAGGTGAAAAGTATTTCTTTTAGGGCCCTAAAGCAATTAGTAGATCTTGCTAATATTAGGTATGGTACAGACTAGTGGCAATATGAAGATACAGTTATGTGAACTACAAGGAACTCTTAAATGGTGATTGTTACTTTTATGGTTCATGATAAATGAATGGGTTTTGTGAGGATGATTGTGCTATGGGAGGCTTTATGTGAGGGTTGCATTTGTTGCTGTGAGGGTTTACAGAATCTGTCAGACTTTGAATAGGGTCAGTGCGCTAAATACGTCAGTGGTGGGAATTCTTGTGCTGTGAAAGACTTGGAGAAAGCAGCTGTCTGAGAGCACTGAAGGTCACCTGGGCATGTGTGCTGCCAACCTCTTCACTTTCGTCAATAGAGTCACTGCAGCTTATTACAATCACTGAGAGAGGGTTTCCTACTGTGGTGGGAGAAACAAGGCTGTCTTACCTAAGTAAAAATCCAAGTATACTTACTTGAAAATTGAAATTATGCCAAAAGAGAAAAATAACATTCCTGACATTAGCAGTCTGGGCTTGTCTAGGAGGTCAGGGAACTTGTATTTTCCTCTAGTATGAGGCATCAGCAAATCCAGCTTCCCTCCACCATCCCCCAAGTAGCAGTATTCTAGTTCTGGTTTTCAGCATAAGCAGGTAGTCAAATAACTTTAAGTTCAGATTCAGGGACTGCTAATAATGCAAATGTCCTTACATTTTGTATTGCAAGTTCACAGTTTGTTAGTACAGATTGATTGTATGAATTTCAAATGATACGTGTGTTGCAGAATTAGTCTGCTTGTATTAAAAGTAATACAAATATTTAAATGTTGGGGTCTGTCTTCTAGTTTGTTGATACCAAACCAGTTCAATACATGAGCAAGAGAAAATTTGTGTTGGAGAAGTACTGATTCTTTTTTTTTCTTTGCCTATTACTGCCTTAAATAATAATAGTCGAAAAAAACCCCAAAAATCGAACCAAAACCCAAACTGAACCAAAAAAACCCACCAAAACTTTGTGCATTTGGCTGGTATTGCAAAAGCTGTTGAGAAGGGAAAGTTTCAGAAGAACTTATGAATGAAGTGTAGAGAATTAGTGCATTACAGTTCCATAATGCACTTATTTTAAACCAGCCTTCTTTACCCTTTTGAAGTTTCTCATTGTGTTCCTCCAGATCATCTGTTGCTGTTGTCAAGGACCTTTCACTTTGCAGACTCTGTTCTGTTTTTTCTCTCAGAGGTTTTTATTATTCTAGAAGTGGCCTAAATGGTCAAGGGCAAGGTAGAAGGTGATCTCTGTCTGACATCACACTGAGCATGGTGTAGGCATGGACATGATGCCCAGTCTCCAGTTAGTCTTACCTGAATTCTGGTACAATGATTGTTGTTTCTTCTGCTTTATCTTTCTGCTGCTGCCTCTCACGCTTGTAATCTAGGCTTTTGCATGTCCTTTGCATACCTGTTTTTGTAGTGGATTTGCAGTTAGGTCTTTGTCCTGTTTTATAAAACTGCCTGCTTTGAACCAGGCACATTTCCTCATAGGGCTGTTGGTAAATACGAAATTTGGACGTGGAGCCAAAAAGTTCCTTGTTGTTCATGATGTTTTTGCTTGCTAGTATTTTTTTCCTGGTCTTAGGCCTTCTTTAAAAATGAAATGATCTAACTATGTATGTTGTTGCATTGTCTGGCACTATCAGTTAGATGGGATTTTGCTGTGACAGTGTGTGTAAGGATTACTTGTTTTCTCGCTGTTTGCATCTTTCCTAGTTATGTGCCCTTGTGAAAAGTCCCTCTCCAGCCTATTTGAAAGCCTCGTAGTAAAATCTTTTTGGGCTATATGCAGTTTAGTGTTCTGTAGGTGCAGACTTCTAAAAATAATAATTTCTATTGGTTTAAATTTAATGCATATTCATTATATTATGCTTTTTGCTTATTTTCTATGTAGTAGCTGCAGTCATGAGGCAGGAAGCTTTGTGAAAGATGTAATTTGCAACCTGCTCTGACATGTTGGAGTACAAGATGACAAACTTAAGGCACTTTCCTTGATCCTGACAGCACTCCAAATTCAGTTATGTTGTTCATAACAACGATTACTTGGTGTCTTCATCTGTTGAAATAACTTTCTGTTCTCTAAAAGTAACTCGGAATAGACAAAATTATCCGTATCTTTGTGCAGGAGACAAATGGAAGTCCACTGTACTGATATTGCTCTTATGAATCAGATCTTCCTGATTTATGAACACTTATGAACCTTGTATTGTATGTAGGCATGTTGTAGATTTTTATGTTGGGAAATAAACAATAGTGTGTTTCCTGTTGTGAAATGTGTTTAAATACTTTCCTCAGGCCTTCGATTTCCCCCTCCCCACCTCCTCCCACCCCGCAAAATGGGAAATAACTTAAAAATATGTTAAGGAAGAGCTAGAGAAGCTAATGCATAAGTATTTACATTATTTTGGGCACTTGGTGTCCAACCTTTGAAAGCAGCATGATAAGACTTACTTGAAAAGCTTTAAAAGGGGTGACAACCCATTTTTTTTATTTTATTAAACATCCTGGAGGTCTTCTCTTTGACTTACAGAAACAACAGAAGCTTGTTTGATTGAAAGAGATACATAGCTGTTGGCTTATTTCTAGTGTTTTCTTCAAAATAAGTGAAAACAGGCCTTTTGAGTGAAAAGGAACTCTTTGCCAAAGATCTGCAAATGTAAATTCTGTTCAAGACAAAATAAAAGCTTCTCTGCAATCATCTTGGTGGACTTTATAGAGTGTTTCTGATTGACAGAAACAACTAAGCTTCTTGTAAGTAAGAGCTGCATAAATAGGAGAGTACAGACAAATTGGTTTGGATTCACACTGATCTCTAATCTGCATTTGAGTGTTTTGAAAACAAACTACTCATTGAATTATGTTCTCTAGTGCTTTTTTTCCTTTATAAATGTATAAATGCAAGCATAGGCTATTAACCTATACTTACTAAACTTATTGCATTTTTAAACTTTTTATGCTTCATCTTATGCAAAATATTACTTTGTCTGAATCACACATTGCAGATGCCAGAAAAGAAGGATCTGCTTTGTAGGAGTCCAGAGATGATTCTGAAAAATTAGTTGTTTCTTACTGTTATAGCCAGATGATGATTTGGATGGCTTTGCTTTATTTAAGTAAAGTCAAATAACTTCAAGTTGCCTTTCTAGAATTAAATTGCTCTACATTTAGGTATTATGATATAATGTGTTCCAGATAGTCCCTTCCAAGCTTCTAGGCAGCTTTTTGACATTAATTTAACAACAAGTTTCAAATAGGACTATATTGAAGTGTTCCTGAATCCAAAATGTAACTAAGCTGCATGACATGGCAATAAGAATGGCAGCAAGAAGGGCCATGCAACAGTTTACCTGAATCCTTCTGAAATATTTGCTTGCAATACAGGCTTTAGTGTCTGAAGAGATCTGAAGTATTTTATGTCAAATAGGATGTGATTTGCAAAAATTAAATTTTCTGTTTGGATAAAAAAAAATCATATTGAACAATATTGTTAGGATATCTTTTGCATGGAGAAGTAGTGGATATTCCTCATAGTTAACTTATGATTGCTAAAAGTGCCTTTGAGTGTTAGTTTACCTCCCATTAACTTAAAATTAGCCAAGAGAGTCTCTGCAAATGACTAGTACCAACTAGCAATTGTGGTTTAGTTCAACCTATACCTTATTTCTCAGTGTCTCCTGTGGCCCTTAACTGCTTTGTTTTGCTTCTTCCAAGACTGCAGTTGGTGCAAGTTGAAGATGCAAGGCAGAGGGTCTTGGATTCCCATTAACATAATACAACAAAGTAATAAGATTATTACTAAATTTTGATATGTAAATAACAAATTATTTCTCCCATCATTCAGACAATTCTTATCTGTAATGGTCTGGAGTGGAAAAGAAGGGGTTTGGTTTTTAACTTTTTTCTAAATTTGGTGGTTAATGATTTTTTTTTTTAATGAAGGCATCTTCAACCTGAGTGGTATGAAAAATTCTAAAAGAACAACCTCTTTCTTGGATATTGTAGATAGTGTATTTAAGAATTGTCCACTGTTCTATAGAGTTTTTTCAGTTGATAAAGGAGAATTAGTTTAGAAGCACTGCTATATTGAATATTAGCACTGTTATAATGAAGGCCAGGTAATTTATTTAGCACCAGCATGTTCTCCACACCTCACAAATGTGAGAAATTGCACAAAAAGTGTATCAAGCAAAATAGACATAAAGGGCAGGAAAGTCTGCAGTTTGTAAGAATGTAAATGCTTAAAATGATAATTGATATATAAGCTTCAAGATTTTTGCTGAAATTAATGGATTGTATTAATTGAACTTTTCTAATGGCTTTCTTCTTCCCTAGGCACGAGCTTTAACACCTCAAACAGCAGAAACAGATGCAATAAGATTTTTGGTTGGAACACAGTCTCTTAGATATGATAATCAGGTAATTTTTCTGTCAAGTGTCAGTTGTAATTTTTCCCTCTTTTTTTAAATGTTGTTCCAAAATCATTCTTCCTCCTTTCTCCCCCCGTTGAATATGAACATTATGATAGTCAAGTTGAAGACTTCTGTGAGTAAAATGTAAAGATATTGGTAAGATATATTATTGAGTGAAAGCTGTGTGTGTTTTCTGAAAATTAAATTGCTCTTCTAAATTTTATGACTAAATCAGATTGGTTTAGTGAAGAAAATATTTTTCTTGCATTGGATCTATAGATTCTCTGGAGCTATCTTTAAACCACAGAAGAGAAGAAAAGTAAAACAAAAGTCTTTAAGTCTTAATTGCCTGTAATGAGACTACTGCTACATGCACAGTTAAGTGTATGTAAAGCTTCATAAACTGAATTTTTCATCATTAGTTATTGACAATAAGCTGTGTCCTTTCTGGTCATAAGTTTAACAATTCAAACTAAAATTTGATGACTTTCATGGCTCAATTTCTATTGGGTTGTCTCTTCTGCACTTAGGAGTACAAGACTTCTAATTGTACAGCAATTTTAATTTTTGTGACTAAATTGCAGTAAAATTCATAGTGAAACAAGTTCTGGAGGCTAGAAGAGTTAGAAAGTTGTTCTGAATGCAGGTGGCAAGGCTTGGGTAGCAGAAGGGCTGCAGTGGTGGCCTCTGAGAAGAGGCCAGCAGTTGCCCGTGCCAGGCGTGGCTGGTCCCAATGAATCTGCTGCAGGACACAGTTGAGTCAGTCAGTGTGATGGCATCTCTGTGAAAATGTTTAAGAGAGGGGAGAAAATGCTGGATGGAAAGAGGAGGAGCAGTAGAGGAAACGACAGAGGTAAGACCAAGGTCAGGAGAAACAGAAGATGCTTCATGCTGTAGCAGGTATCCACTGCAGCCTCTGGAGCACCTGTGCCAGAGCAGGTGGATATTCCCGAAGGAACTGTGTCCCATGAAGGTCCCATGCTGAAGCAGAGGAAATGAGCGAGATGCAAAGAGCGTCAGACACAAAACAGTATGTACTGCCCATAACCACCACTGTCCCAGACCCCCTGCCCCATTGGAAGGGGATCACAGGGGTCTGGGGTGCAGTTAAGACTGGGAAAGGAGGGAAAGAAGGTACTTGTTTATTTTAAGAGGCAGTAGATTAATTAATTCACCCAAGTCAAGTCTGTTTTTCCTGGAACAGTAACTAGTAAGTGAGCTCCCTGTCTTCATCTTGACACATAGCTTTCTCACTCCTGTTCTTCCTGGTTTTTCCCCCTGTCATGCTTGGGAGGAGCAGGTATCTGGGTGGGAGTCTAACTGTTAGCCAAGCCTAACACACCACAGAAGTCTCTAGAATTGGATGGAGTGACCAATTCTTCTGAAAATGGTCTGTAATGGGCTGCATAAAACCAGCTCAGAGCCGTAGCTCTGGGAGAAGTGAGCTGTCAATTCCCAGTGAAGTTTTGAGTTCGTTACTTAATGGTAATACTGAATGAGACTCAAGGAAAAATTATTCCAAGGCATAAGGGGGATGGAGTATTCAGATTCTTTACATTTCAGGTAATACTTATGAGAACAGTAACAAAAGAAGAGGCAGACAAACTTAGTTAACTAAGTATGTATACTCAGTTATATTTTTGATTGTGCTGTCTCTGATGCTCTTCAAATATTGGTTATAATGTGTCTTTCTACTGTGATTTCTGTGGTGGTTTTACTACCTGGGTCAACTAATTAAATCCTGATACAAAATTCTAGTTAAAGAATGGTTCTCACTTATCAGTTGATATCCAGCAGATCTTCAATAATTTAGATGTTTTGATTTAGGTAAGTTTATTGGGCATATACTATGTATTTTAGAAATGTTTACGTATATTACAACTTTGAGTACGCTTTTCTTTTTCCAGTGAATAACATTAACAGTAGAAATGCAGGACCATTCCTAGTGTATTAACAGATGTTTGGAGGTTATTGGCCTTTAGCTGTGCCTCAGGCCATCATTTCCTCTCATCTAGTTGCTAATCCCCAAGAAGTGCCCTAGGCCTCAGCTCATTATTGCTTAATTCAGCACTAGGTTCTCTAGATTTGCTTGAAAATTTTTCTAGTTACCTGACCAAACTTATGAGCTGGCTTGCAACCTTTAGAACTTACCAAGTACTCCACAGTGAGAAGTTTTATCATGTGCAGAATATTTCTTCCCTTCTAGTCCTGGGCAGGTGTAGTTCACTTGGAAGATCAGTGATTGTACAGCTAGCATGATAACTTTTGCCTTGTTGAGGTTTATTGCTGTATGAAGCAATCTTAGGTATTCATAGGAGAATATATTTTAGGTGAAAATATTTTCCTATTAACAGTAATATTTCAAAGGCAAGGAAAATGTTTATAAGATTTTATATTCTCTCAATATTTGACATATTAATAGTGTGTAGTACTTGGCATTTGGTTCTTATAACTTTCTGGGAATGGTTTAAGTAGTTTCTCTGATGTACTGTGTTCTACAAGGTGTAGTTTTAGAACTTTTCTCCCCAGTACTTTCATTGTTGCTAAATTTAATGCATTCATTGTATGCATTGGAAATACCAAAGTATGTCACTTACTCTTTTCTCATCTCTAATTTCCATGATTTGTATAATGCACTGGTGAGGCCAAACCTTGAATCCTATGTTCAGTTCTGGGCCCCTCACTGCTAGAAAGACACTGAGGTGCTAGAGCAGGTCCAGAGAAGGGCAACAGAGCTTATAGCTCTCTACAACCACATGAAAGGAGGTTGTAGCCACGTAGGGATTGTACGTACGTACCTGTTCTCCCAGGTAACAAGTGACAGGACTAGGAAGAGGAAGTGGCCTCATTCCCCTCAGTGAGGGACTTAGGTGGAGCTGCCAAAGGAGTCTCCAAAGGAAAAAAAGAGATAAAGGTTAAACTGATCTTTTTTTAAAAGACAGGAGGGCCACTCTTTAAGAGGGATATGCAGTTGTTGGGGTAGATGGATAGTGTCCTGATTCCTAGATTCAAGGCAAGAAATGAAGTTTGAAAAGGCAACTTGCTAATCAACTGCAGATGTTCTTACATGCCTTGGATGACAGAATGGAAGAATAATACAGGTGATGAGGTTCCAGGATTATATTTGAAGGAGGAATTGCTGATAACTGTTTGGACAATAAAGAAGAAGATAACATGTAAACTCAGCCCCTTAAAAATAATAGTGTTTAATATTACCAATTTAGATTGAGACGTATTTAGTAGCTTTATTTCCTTTATTTTAAGGAAATCTTCTGTAATTCTGCATAGCTAAGATTTTTGCAGTGATTCAGTACTTAAATAAGTAGACTTAATTCAGTCATGATGATTGGATATCTCCTGGCTTTTTTCCCTCTTCGTTTTTCACCAACTTTGAAAATGAATTTTTAATGAGGATACAGTTCTCTAAAATTTGTGAGTCTTTTAAAATGTATTTGTTCACTATTGAGGTTAGGGGAATTAGTCCCTTGAGTAAACTTACTTCTGTGTGTTATGCAGGCTAGAATCTTCCTCAATTTCTTGTATTTTTGAGGCAACTACAGAAAAACAACTAACTAAAAACAGAGAGGAAAAAATTATAGTAACGTAGACCTATTAAAAAAAATACAGCAAACAAACCAGCAAAAAACAAAAATGAAAATAATAAAAATCAAACTTAGTTCTGTCTTTTAAAAATATTACCTCTTTATTTAAATATTATTGTTTTTCTTCCTCTTTCAGTTCAATATTTTATGTTTTCATATAGTATAAAAAGCTTACAAATTTGTATCTTGTTAGAGGTACGTAATTGCTGAGGTGAACTCTCAAAAAATTTCTTACTGAGTTTAGAGTATTTGTTTGAAAGAAGAATTCTTTCCCTCTATCTCCTTCTTTCTTTGTAGTTGGTTTGAATTCCATGATTTAGGTACAGAATTGGTGCAGACAATTAGACTAAGAATTTTAATATTATTTTTGTTTATTGCTATTAAGAATTGTTAAATTGTAATATGAATGGCTTATTGACAATTAGCCATAAAATGAAAAATCACCTTCAAGATTGAAGCTGAAAATTGAGAATAAGCATAGCATTTCCTCAAAACAGGGAAATTGCTTGTGTTTTCCTGGAAAGGTTAATCCTACATGAAATCAGTGATATAGTAAATTGTTGATATAACAATTAATTAAAATAGATATCGGTTATAAAAATCTCATTAAATTGCTCCATATAGTCATCATGTATAATTAAGACCCACAGGAAAACATTTGAAACCCTGATATTCTCTTTTATTGTATTTGCAGATTCACATAATCGATTTTGATGATGAAAATAACATTATAAACAAAAACGTTCTCCTTCATCAAGTGGGTGAAATTTGGCACATTAGTACCAGTCCTGCAGATAAAGGTGTACTAGCAACCTGCTACAATAAAAGTAAGTCCTTTTTAAACATGTTCAACTTGTTAAGGTGTTTTGATATTTTGGAATGTGCAAAGTTTGAACATCTAGCTATGTGGAAACACTTTAAATTGGAATTATCAACTCAGGCATTTTTCAAAAAATCTGCTGTACTTTTACCTATACCGCATTGGTGTCATATCCTTAGGTTACCTCGGTTAGAAGTCGACTTTTGCATTCATGTTAAGGAAAGCAGAAAAATAAACCTTATGCTTCCCTAAAGAATCTCAGAATATGCTGAGTTGGAAAGATCCCTCAAGGATCATCAAGTCCAACCCTTTGCCCTGCACAGAACCATCCCCAAGAATCACACCACATGCCTGAGACAATCATCCAAACTCCTCTTGAACTCTGGCAGGCTTGGTGCTGTGACCGATTCCCTGGGGAGCCTGTTCCAGTGCCCAACCCCCTTTGAGTGAAGAACCTTTTCCTGATATCCAACCTAAACCTCCTGTGATACAGATTCAGGCCATTCCCTCAGGTCCTGTCACTGGTCACCACAGAGAAGAGATCAGTGCCTGCCTCTCCTCTTCCCCTCAGGAGGAAGTTGTAACTACAATGAGATCTCTCCTCAATCTCCTCCAGGCTGAACAGACCAAGTGACCTCAGTCCATCCTCATGTGGCTTCCCCTCAAGGCCCTTCACCATTTTTGTTGCCCTCCTTTGGCTGCTCTGTAATGGCTTAATATCTTTCTTATATTATGGTAACCAAAACTGCACATTATTAATAGCTGTTTTTTGAAATTGCTTAAAGAGGTCTTAAAATGTGGCACTGAAGAGAGTGGAATTATGTACATTTTGCATTTCCTAGCTCACTAAATAAGCTAATGGAATAGGGTGAAATGCTCATGAAAAAACTTTGAAATTTCCCCCTTTGTATTGGGAGAGACACTGAATTTTCTTTCTCACACTTACAGATAGTTAGCATAGCTGAGGTATGAATAAGGTCTTATGTTACTATATGGAAAGAAAATATAGTAGATGCAAACAGAAGAGCACTTTTTCACAGCTCTTCTTTGTTTTTTGTTAAGAGGAACTTGCCTTTTTTATAGCAATTTTGGGGAATATAAAAAAAAAAATTAAAATGCAGTGAAATCTTTCCATAGTATACAGTTGTTATCATCCCCTGTAATGTTATCAAGACATTTAGGCTCTTGTTTATTTTTTTCTTAATGACTTGACAGTTAATTCTGCTGCCCCAAAGTCACAGACAACACTAGCAATCTTGCTGTATGTTTTGAAATACAGATGATCTGATGTAGTTTGCTTCTCCTTTCTCTTGTAGGGATAAAACTTAGCAAAACAGTGTAATAGGCAAAGCTTTTTGTTAATCTCTGCTGAGTGCTAAGAATTTTATGGGGGAAATGGACATGCATATTCAGCTGGTAACAGCTGGTTTTTTGTGGGGTCACGAATCAAATGGAAAGTTTAAGCCATGTCTGTGTGTCTGAGAATAATTCAGTTAAATGCTGCTCTGTATTCTTTGTTCAAGATACTTTGCTAGGGTATCAATATACAATTAGGTTTTTATAAGGAAAATACTTCCTGACTCTCACGTAAAAATTAAGGAAAACTCTTCCTTGCTAGCACAAGTATTTACTTCTTTATCTAATTTTGGCATTGCATCATTAATAAACCCTTGTATCTTTTCATTCTCAATTGTGACATTAACTAGAATAATAATGGTTCCAGTAGTATTGGAACAATTGTATCTTTGTATATTAACCAGAAATTCCATTTTCTAGGACATTTTGTTTTTATACAAAGAAAAAAATTGTGGAACTGTTTCTCTACCCCTCCTCATGCACACATCTTAAAAATACTGACTTAATTACAAAGGGAGAACTTATTTGACTCAGTTTCTGCCTTGATTATAGTGGTCCCCCCTCTCACCAATCATGGATATATTGCTTATGCAATTTTATACTTTACTACGGATGTTATAGGAAGATGATTTTATTATCAGTTGATAGGCTTACTGGTTATGTATACTCTTGCCTAACCTTCAGAAAAGATCATGAATTTACTATGCTGGAGGCACAGCACTTGCCTATACTGCATATTTCTAACATACTCAGCAATATTTGTGCTAGAAATATATTAAGATCATTCCTGTGTTACTGGCATTGCTGATAGATAAGATGTGTCTTGAGAAGACACTGAGAAGTAACTTTTTCCAAATGCATTTGGCAGCTATTTGATGTCATGAGAATTAGGGATGTTTTATTTTATCACAGATTCCTTAACTGAAGGGAGAAAAGTGTATAAATATGTGGAAGAAGCAAGGTATAAGAGGAGAAAAGAAGGATTTAAGTCTAAATATCTTGGGGACAGAGGAAGAAGGCTTTATAAAATTAATACTTGAGATATCTAGATGAACTCATGCACTGTTAGTTAGTTGTGACATGCTGATGCATCATTTTTCTCCTCTACTATGGCAACTCAACTGAATTAAAATAGGGGTGTCGGGGGTTTTTTTCCCTCTTGAACAGGATGAGATTGCTACTGACAGCTTTAAAGTAGGTAAAAATTAAGGGGGGAAATGAGTTTAGTAGTCTTCTAACTTTAGAAGTTAAATTAGATTGTTTAAATTCAATATGATACAGATTAGGATTAAAAAATCTAAAAGTATGAATTCTTGAGAGAATGACACAATTTTCAGAGGGGTTTGGGTGATAATAATAAGTGGCAATAAGCTAGAGTGCCACAGTTGCATTTTAATTGGTTTAATGCCTAATCTCTGAAAATTTACATGTAGTTATTTGCCTCTGATATTTATTAATATCCTAAAGGTATGTTCAGCAAAGCAGAAATCAAATAACTTACTCTACAGTAGCCCAGAATTAAAATGGAGGATGCTGTATTTAGTGGAAAATCCCTGTCAGAACAATTCTAGGAACATTACACCTTCCCTTTTTTTCTGCTTTTCCGACTAGCTGTAGTCGTTCAACTACTCTTTTTTTTACTTTCTGTAAATTAAAATGTGACAGGAGTGACACTTCTAAAAAGTGAATAAGAGAGGTGACAAAGTAATTAAGGAGATTATAGCATTTCTTAGTAGAAATGCACTTTCAAATGTCGGAAAAGAAGAACGATGAGGTGGGGGTCAAGAATGTACCCTCCAAATAGTGATATGAACCAATGAGAATAATGATACACTAAATATAAGTTTAGAAATGAAGATAAATTAGTCTTCAAGAGATGGGTAGCTATCCAAGAGCTCTCTTCAACTGTTAAGGGGGAAATCGTTTCACATGTGTATTACTACTTAAAGTTTGAACGAAGCTTTCTTTGGTATTCAAAAGAGCATCCTAGCCTGCTATAGGATACACTTTCATTGTAAAGAGGTGAAATACCAAAACCCTGCAGATCGCACTAGGGGGAGTCACTTGGGAACTAGAACAATGAAGACCCTGGCAAAGCCCATTGGAATATGATCCATATACAGTCTCAGTATTACTTAAGTTTCAAGCTACAGGAGGAGAAATCAAAAAGCCATTTGAATGGACTTTTAATTGTGTTCTGAGGCACAGAGAAATAGCAACAGGCAACAGGCCAGGGTGTGTCTAATACAATTTTTGTATGTAGAGTAGGTGATGGAAGCCTCAGCTCTAGGGTTGGCTGAAAAAAATTGGGACCCTGGATAAATATTGTGATTAATATAATGTTGGGTAATACTTGGAAATATGTTGATGATGTCCTTTTTGTCATTCCATCTTATAATACACTGTCTTTAGGTGTTTGGAAAATTTCTGAGTTAGGTGGATGCACAGTGGTAGGTACAGGTTGTATGTGGGATTTGTGTGCGTGTGTGCCTTGCATATGCTTTGTTTCATATAGAACTTCTTAATCTGTTGTCTTGTTTATACATCCCACCCCTTCTCTCACCTGCTATTTTATGATACTGTTAAAATGGAGGCAGGCTATTTTCTGTGGACTAATAAAGTAAATTTCAGCTACATCATAAAAGAAATGGGGAATGCAAAGGGATTTTTCTGTAAGACTCTAAAGACTTTGCAGCAATGCCAGTTTGTCAGCAATGGATGGCTTCTTTCAGAGTGAGTCTTGGGTCTGGTCTCTGTGGAACAGAATACTAACTAGAGAGGGTGAATGATCATGGTGATATTTGAGAAAAAGTGTCATTCTAAAATAATTTTTAGAAATATAAAGGGAACTTTTAATCTGATAAGTTTCTGCTTTATTCTTTGCAAAACCTGAATATAATGTTTCATTATATCCTATAAGCCAGAATAAAAACTCAGATTTATGCATTGCTCTGAGATACAGATTGATCTATTCAGCATGTCAGCAAGAAATTAGTTTTGTTTGAATTTTGATACTGTGTAATGGCTAGTTACTTGTGTAGTTAGTGTTCTGGTAGATGTTCTGCAGACAATTGTTTGAGAAGTTGAGGAGTAAGGCAAACTTCTGCAAAGGAAGTGGTGAGGAGATACAGAGGAGGAAATGGACAAATGATCCAGACTGGAAATTGTGCATTAGTGGAAAATGCAGTTCACCTGCTGAAGCTCTAATTGGATCTAGGTAGCAGACTCCATTACTGTAAAGGTTAGTTTTCAGGACGTGATTGTGTGCAGCTACTTCAGCCTGTCTCCTGTCTGCAGGGGACGGGTGTGCTTGGGGGGACAAAAGTGAATGACCGTGTCTTGAGAGCATAATTGTAGACAATTGTACTGTTAAGTGTCACAGGTCTGATGGGGAAGATGCTTACTGAAAGGCAAAGTGAGGAAATTAAGGCACTAGTATAGCTGGAGAAATATGGAGATCTTGAGGAAGGAGATCTCAAAAACAACTAAGGGATATATCATGTAAAGGGTGAGTGTGTGGCTGCAACCACTTGTGAGAACACAGGAAGGTATGAGGTGGTAACGTAGCCTTTAGGCGATCAGTTCTAGGGAAGGGTAGAGAAATGTTACAGTGGTGAGATATAGCCCTTAGGTGTTCGCATTTGGCTTTCT